GCATTTGTTGTCTTGCTGTTAAATTTTAGAATCTCTGCTCTTGTTCTCACAGTCACAAGGCTTGCTCAATGGTAGGTTCATTAGAATGCTCTGGGGATCAGAAGTTGAGACCCTAATTGGGGTTTGAAGTGTAGAAGTGTCCTTTACTTAGTGTTCATCCTCCATGGAACTTGAAGCCAGTGCTGCTCTGAGAATCCATACAGATGGCACAAAGAGTGTCCTTGATTAGTCTCTCTACTCCAGAAGCCAAGTGAGTTGTATTTGTGAAACATCCAATCTCAGACCTGCTAACAGGGATTCAAATGTGGATCTTGCCTGCTGACTTCTTGATTGCTGTAGCCATGTGGAGGCAGTCAGTAGACTCAAAGACTAGGACTTAATGGTTTTCCACAAAGGTGGCTTTTTGTTGAGCTCTGTGGCTCTGGTTTTCTATAGCTCAGTTGTTAAGTTAGGTACTTTTTTGTTAAAGAAAAAACATGTTGGATGTTTATTAATGGGAAAGATGCAGAAAGCGCTAGCTGTTCCTAAATCAAGGCCACTCATAGCTTGCTTACAATTTTATGAACCATCCATCCATACACCCACATTTGCTCCCTGGAAACTTTCTATTTAACAAGTTAGATGAGTGTTGGTGAATCTTGAGTGTCATGCGGACTAGAAGAGTGCAACTACAATCTGCTTAGGCTGTGGAGTTCTTGGTCACTAGATTTTGATACTAGTCTGTCACTTTAGATCCAATTGGCATGGTCTTAGCTGTGCTCAGTGTAGTGGGAACTTAGAACACAGCTCTGCGTCCAGGGAGATGGCCAAAGGTGACACATTTGACTTGGAGGCCTTTCCCATTAAAAGGTACACTTCTTGTCACAGCTGTGACAACATTGCTGCCCTAATGATTCTGCATTGCTTCCCTGTTAAGACACAGACTTTGTTGGATGCATAATGCTGGACAGTGCACTCTGGAAGATGTTACATAATGTGTGTGTCGGGCTAGTAGATCCCAGTCTCCCTAGATGTGTCTGCCTCTTATGGTTAATGGTTTGTGGGCAGTCACAGTGTGTGCACAGACTTATATGCACCACGACACACTTGTGAGAGAGATCATAGGGAGCCACTAGCATTAGTTCTGTGTATTTTTGGTGCAGGGAGAGAACATGGTTTTGAGCATGTATTGGGGAGCTCTCCTTCCTATATATAAAAATCATAAATCCACACCACCTGCAACACAGCACTGGTGTGCCCTGCACATCAGGTCGCTTTATGTCTGTTTCTTGATTCATCTCTCTTGCACTGTAATCTGGAAACTCTTTGCTATTAATAGGGAAGGCCTTAGAAATGTGGGTTTTATAACATTGGATGCTTCAGCTTAGACAACACTCTTACCCAACCCCAGCCACCTTCATGATATTATACATAGACTACAGTAGGTTGGTTGGTTCATCTGAGGAAGTGAATTTGTGTTGTTGTAGGTTGCAATCTCCTTTTTTAAGAGGAGTTCTTCCTGTATTTTCACTTGATGGTGGCCATCTTGCTGACAATGATAGGTGTCATCATTTATGACCTTATTGGTGAAGGGGAATGAATACTCACGGAGAGCAGTGTATCAGCAGAACTTACCTGTCAGAAACTTAAAACCACTGAGTTCTAGACTTAGAGCTATGTAAATAACTTGGTTGGAATCTCTGATATTAAAGGTTGCTTACAGGAGCTGTCACAAATGTCACTTCAGGTTGATTTAAGGATGCCATGTCTGGTTAAACTTAAAATCCGGTTAAGTTTAGCCATTGCAAAAAGCGTTTCTTGCCATGTAAACCTTTAAGATGCTGCCTGAACTGACCGAGTGTAGCTTTCTTGGTAGACACTAAACACATCTTCTGTAAACTGGACAGATTTGCCCTCTTCTTTGAAGCCTGCATGGAATCCTGACCGGCAACCTACATTATTCATTTGCTTTGAAAGCAAATTATATCTGTGTACACTGCTAATGTATGTTATAGCGCTTGGGACCCTTTGCCATTCTCGAGGTCACTAAAGCACCAGGAGCCCATGTGCATCATTCCTGCACCACCTGTAAGAGCCTGAATCTCAAACCAAGTTTGACAGTTGCTCCATCTGTTGCTGATCTCCATTCCGATTCACATCAGTATGTGCTGCATTCAGTCAGAACCTATATAACTTTTCCAATCAACAAGCCGTTTAGCTCCAGGGCCTTAGCTTATACAGTTTGTGACTAAAATGCAGAGATCTGTCATGAGTGCTCTGTGGCTGCTTATTGCTACAAATACCACTCTTAAATTATGGCTGGAGCATGACTGATTGGTACAGGAAAAAGCTTCACCACTGTAATTTTTTTACCCCTCTTGCCTGACATGGTGAATCCTGAAGCATTTCTCAGAGAAACCCAGATTAACCATTCTAAGACTTTGCCATTTTACATTCCACGCATCCTGAACTGGCAGAGCTGGGCTCAGTGACTTCAGCTGACACTGTGGATAAAGTGTTCTGATGTTTTTTTGATCCATCTAGCTTCACAGGGTTTGTGGTGTCTTGCTATGCAGAGTACCAGCGCATATCCCTAAGTTAGTAAAAATCCTCCTTCGTATACCCCATCTTGTCTGAATGAACCCAGTGGTGATCAGTCACTGGTACACATGACCGCTTTTAGACTAGCAGCTGTGTTAGTCTGTATCCGCAAAAAGAAAAGGAGGATTTGTGGTACCTTAGAGACTAACAAATTTATTTGAGCATAAGCTTTTGTGAGCTACAGCTCACTTTATCGGATGTATGCAGTATTTTCTACTGCATGCATCCTATGAAGTGAGCTGTAGTTCACGAAAGCTTATGCTCAGATAAATTTGTTCATCTCATATGTACCATAGAGACTTTCTTTTGGTGATGCTGGTTGGAGTTGGGGAGAAAAGAGGAGGTGTGAGGGACTAGGTTTGCCATGTGTTCATGGCACATGAGAAATCTTAACATGCGCCAGCATGAGCAGACCATCTTGCCCCTGGGGCTTATAGGAATGCAGTGGAGACAACACAGTCTACCCTTAAGGAGCGGGAAAAGTGCAGCCATAACAGGTGTGGGAGGAACTGGTGCAGATGTGCTAGCTGTCTCATGACAGCAGTCTAGCAATCGGGTAGACAGGGAATTTGGAGGGGGGGGAGGAAGGAGGATGTGGGATATCTAACTAAAACGTGTTACATTAAAAGTTTCTGGCTTCTAGATTCATGCTGTTTCTGAGTTCTAATCCTAGCTCTGATCCAGACATTTTTTGTGGCATTGGGCACACCTCTCTGCTTCAATTTTTTGTTCATAAAATGGCAATATTAATTTACTGATCTGCCTGCTGTTGGAAGATTAAAATGTTTGAAATGCTATAAGGTCTAGGTAATGTGTAAAGCAACAGCTTTAGAAATGGAGATTTTTTTTCTAACAACAAAAAATGTGCTTTTGGTCAGTGGAGAAAACAAACCTGCATCTTTTGGCAAATCAAGAGGCTCCTCATATTTGAAGAAGAGACTCATTGCTCTGTACAGGCTGAAAGAACAGAAAAGAGAATACATGCTAAACTGCAAAACGGTGCTGTTTTGCTGTACAGAATGCCAAGGGAGACGTGCCTTTGCAGTGGAGTAAGGATGTAGATGATAGCCAGCTGCAATGTCGTAAAACATGACCCTTGGGCCATGGAGTACACTCTGCCCTTTCTGGGGGAAAAATGTTTGTGGTGGCTTCATGTTCCCCTTAGGTCTAGGCAGTGGGGTTCCCCATTAAGGACCCGGGACTGTGTTAGGAACTTATCCAATGAACGGATCAATCACTTGTATTATGTCTTAAAGGATCTTGTCTCCTTTAGGAAAATTATTTGATCAAGCAAAAATTCCTGGAATCTGGAGTGCTCCGTACTAATTGTCAGCCCTCTCCTTTTCCTGTTCTCTGTCCCTTTTTTCAACAACCACAGTAATGTGTGAGTGCTACTGCATGAACTGGAGAATGATTCTACTCTGTAGACTTGTGTGAGCTGGGAGGGAGGCAGGCTGCCCTCTGCAGCCGTCCATATTTCATACAAAGGAGACTCAGGTTGCTTCCCTGACTCTGCTGACCTGGGACAGATGCATCTCTCTAAGAAGTGAGCATGAGGTGGGGTCAGTTCTTAGACTGGTTATGTTCAAGGCTCGCCTAACCTGATTTTGAAAGCTGCATCAATAAGATGTTCAGAAGATGTAATAGACCTTGTGGGTTCAGCTGGCGAGACAACTTCACCCCATGGGAGTTGGCCTATGACCAGAGTGGTCTAAACCAAGTACTAAATGGCACTGCCCTTAGTATTTCACCCTACAGGACACCTGCCTAACAATAATGGGACCCACAATAATGAAGACAAGTTTAGATCATGGATTGTAAACCCTCTGATAAAGTTCCTCCTGTCTTTCAGCTTATCCCAAGCTATTTCCTCTGGCTATAAATGTGTATTTCCCCACTACAGTACTCTCTCATTCCTCACCCCTCTGAGCAATTTTTTCCTTTTCTCTGTTGCTTGCTAAGGACACTCAGGAGCGCAAGCATTGCTTGCCATTTATTGTCACTGAACTGCTCCATGAGATCCAGACTTTGCTCTGCTCTGAAAACCACTACACATTGTCTCTTGTTTAGTAGTGGCCAGCTCCATTTAAAAGCCTAATCAGATCCTCCAGAGAATGTGGCAGAAAATCTGGTTTATAATTGACACTGTTAACCTGTCCAGAGTCTGCATTTTTTTAAAATGCTCAGCTCTCCCTTGAGGGCTTGTCTACCTGGGGAAATGTACTGCTGTAGTTACACTGATGGAATACCCTGTGTAGATACTTATTTCAGAACAAGTGGCTTTTTCTGGTTTAGCTTATGTTACTGTGCATAATTATACTGGTGTATTTCCCTGTGTAGACAAGCCCTGAGAGGCCTGTTATTTAGGTGGCTAGTATTAACATGTTTCCTAATGGCCTTCTGTGTTCTTTCCACATCAGCTATTATCCTAGCAAAGCTGAAGCTGTTCAGACATTGCTACTTTATGGTGAGTAAGAAACTAATATATATATGTATGTCTGTGAGCAGGGCTTGAAGTGAGTAAAAATGGGTCAGAAAGCCATTCTGGACCTACTTCGGTGGATTATTATTTAGATTATTTCAAGAACACCTAGAGGCTCCAAACGAAATGGAGGACATATTGTGCTAGTTATTGTAGAGAGACCGTAAGAATGGTCCCTGTCCTGAAGAAATCAGTTTATTGAAATTCTTTGCTTTCAAAAAAATTCATATTTTCACCTGTCTTCCTAAAACTGCACAAAGTTCTGAACCAATAGCTGTAAGAGGGTGTGACTCACCTACAGAATGTTGTTGTTGAAGCTTGAGGACAACTTATATATTTGCACTAAGGGCTGGTCTACACCTTAAAATGTAGACAGACATAGCAACGTTGCATAGCACTGTACCTAACCACCCCTGTAGATGAAACTAGGTCCCCAGAAGAATGCTGGTTGATCAAGCTACCTCCCCTCGGGTAGGCGAATTACCTTCAGTGACAGGAAAAACCCCTTCTATAGCTGTAGGAAACATCTACGCTATGGGCACCACAGCAGCATAGCTGCGGCGCCTGTAGTGTAGACATGGCCTAAATTTTGTTGCTGATTATTTGAATGGAAATAGCCTCCTAATGTTCTTAACCAGATGTCTGAATAGCCATAGAAGTCAGAGATGGAAAAGACCCCTTAGGTCACTGTATCCACTTCCCGGTGCCATGCAGAACTATTCCCTACAGTCTCTTCACCAGGGTGGTGTTCAGTCTAATTTGTAATGTCCTTAGCAATAGGGTTGGGAAAGAGTGTGTAAGTACCTTAGGGTAAAGGCAAGTTGAGAACAGTCAGATACTTTCAGGTTCATGGTGATGCCATGCTCTGGCACCTTGGCAGGCTGTTAAAACTCTCCTCTCACTTTTTCAGCTGAAAATAACTTGCCTTCTTTCCCTAGTGGCAGTATCCCCCTGGCTGTCTTTAAATTGGATCTGACTATTTGTAATATTTACTAACCTTCCTCCGGAGACAGACTGTGCTTTGCTGACTGAACTGTTGGGCTTAGAACAACATAATATAAACATACTAAACATTAAGCTTGTGGCCAAATTGTGCCTTGGGATACATGCATGCAGTTCCTGCTGAAGTCAACGGAAGCTGCGCGCATACATCCCAAAAGAGAACTGACCTCTAAGTAGTTTTCACTTGCCTGCTTTCAAACATTTTTCATAACCCATAGGGGTAATAGACTATGCTCTTGATTTTGATACTCTATGGAAACTCTTGTATGTTCCCACTGAAATGTAAGGGACTCTATTTTATATGTTAGTAATAGGTTGAGTCATTTAGATTTCAAGTCACAGAATTGTTGTGTGTTAAATAGTGTCATAACCCTAATGAGACATATTTCCCAGGTAACTCTTTGCTTGAAATATTTCTCCATGAAATAAGAGGTTATAAAAAGATGATGCCATCATTCTCACTCTTGCTCTTGTCTCCTCTCCTCCTTCCATAGATTGTATGTTATGTTTACATCACACTGGTCATTCCAATTCTCATCAAGTTTGCTGTTCCATTCCAGTGGAATTGGCTCTACCAGGTATCTTACTGCCAAGGGAAAATTTTATACACTCTCTGAATCTCTCTTTCACATTCATTTTTAACTGTAAGTAAATAAAAAATCAGAGGTGCTTTTCCACATTGTAGTATAACTTCTCAAAGCCTGCTGCTGAGGTCTGATTTCTGCCAGTCTTGAGCACTGGTAACTCCTAAGGGCTTGGGGGAAGGGAAGAGGCTAGAGTTTTTAAGTTTCATGCTTGTCCTGCGAGGCTGCTGGATTACACATGAGACGTCTGACAGTAATTGTATTATTAAATTTTTGTTTTTCGATTTTTAAAATGTCTGAAGGAAATTAATCAGGAGTGTACAAAGGGAAAAAAGTTAGGCCCTGGATTGCCCTGTGGTAATTGAAACCCCTGGGAGCCAGTCAAATGAGCTTTCACTTCTCCATCTACAGTTTTTATTTGCTTAGTGACTTTAAAATGCATGATTTCTTAAAGTATAATCCGAGCCACCATGCAGGGATCTTTGGAATACATTAACTGGTGGTGGTGCCAAACAACTTGGGGAACATCTCTTTCCCTTAAGCAAAGTCTTGCTCTAGTTTAAAAGCACTGAAATGACATTTGGAAGTCTAACTATATTTAAAATGACAGGGAACACAGTAAAATCAGAGGGCTAACATTCTTTGTCCAGGGATTAACAGCAGTAAGGCAGGAGGGACACTTTGTTGCATCTCATTCATAGGATACAGTATTTAGTGACCAAGAAGCCTTTATTAGGTTAATGTGTCATAACAATATGGGGTCATGAGAACAATCTTCAGTTTCCTGTTTTACGTGCAGCTGTTGGATGAAATGGCAATGTTTGTGTTCTTTGTTCTTAGGGGGTACAAGTTCTGTCCGGCATCAGATAACCCTTACCTCCCTCTCTCTTAGGATTATGAAGATGACCTAAAGGTGGAAGCTGTGTAAGTACGTTTTTTCCTCATTGGCTTTGACAACTTAGTGTTAGAAAGACAAGCTGGTTGCACTTTTCTTCTGAGGAGGTTTGTTCTCCCGCCCAATATTTGAGGTCAGCCTGTGTGTGTAAAAATACAAACTTAGACTCAAATTCAGTAGCTGTCTAAACCACTGAAGAAGCTTATGGTACGCCTATGCACCTCAGAACTGGATATTATAGTAGTTTGCAACAAGTTAGTAGGATACTTAATAGTGTAAAAAATGACATGCATACCGAAATCTTGCACTAAACATCCAAATTTATGGACTCCTAAAGTTAGCAGCCTAAGGGCATGTCTACATTGCAGACTGAGGTATGCTGCTCTTCTGATAGACATACTTACACTAGCTTTCCATGCATTATCATGGGTAAAAATTGCCAGGTAGGCATTGTGGTACAGGCTTCAGCACGGGCTAGCCACAAGAGTACATACCTGGGGTCCCTGCTGTGCTTGTGAAGCCCGTACTGCCACATCTACACTGCTGTTTTTAGCAGTGCTAGGGCAGGTATCTGAGCTACAGTTGTACCTCAACCTGCAGTGTAGACATGCCCTAATTTTGAGGTGCTAAGCAACTGAAGATCTATGAACTTCCACTGGAGCTGAATCCTCAGCACTTCTGAAAATCAAGCCCTAGATGAAAAAGGTCATCTCTTCCCTCCCCACACACATAATGTGTCTTTGGCCAAATGCTCCTGTGTTCTAAAACAGTGCTTTTAGATGTGCATGCCATACCAGGATGAAGTATCAGCTTGGTTTATCGCTGTGGGTTCACAGCCATATAAAGGTGACTGAAAAGGCTAATGGCTCTCACGTTTTATAAACGATAGCCCAAATTCAACCCTTCTGCTTCAAGATGTTTGATTTTCCTGGACATCTCTCTAAAATCTTGCCAACATAGCCACAGCCAATGGCAATGCTGGCCTTCCTCGTGTCCCCTGCATGCTCTAGCAAACACGGGCAGGTCGGCAGTATGGCTACTATATGTCCCCCTCATATTTTGTGCTTGTTTGAGACTTACTGTGCTGACAAGGCTTCAGTGCATCCAAAGCTACACCTGATTCTCAAGTGGCTGCATGTGGACTTGGAGAGATGATGGTTTTTGTATTTTTGTTGTTGTTATGAGAGTACAGTGTTGATCTTGAATACGAGCCACTGGGGTAACTTAACTGTGCTATTTTTGGCTGCTTATGAACGCTTACATAGGGAAAACATTCTTTGCCTGGGCTGAGCAGTGTTTTTGGGAATTAAACCCCTGGCTCCAGCTGTCATGCCACGTCCCATTGATGGCAGTAGAATTAACTTGGGCCAATCCTTAGGAAATCCCTAAGTCAGCCATCAGAGTGGAGGAGTTGTTAATTGACCTCCAGCTCAAAGATCAGAGATTTCAAGATCCAGATCAGCTCACCTTACTAGAGTTTTATAGTGTATAACTAGTGCTGTGTTCTTCCAGGGGTTCCTGTCAGCCCCTTGCCCTGAGAATTCCACACAGGCATACTTTCCATGGGGCCACTAGGTGCTATTTTCTTCATCCGCTGGAGAGTTGCTAGAGCATGTGATGTGTGAACCTTCCTCCCTCCCTTGAAGTTGAGCATGTGGCTTTGATAGTGCAGCCTTGAGCAAGTGTCTGGTCTGGGGAGCTAGACTCCTCTCCTCACCCCAGCCAGAGTATTGTGCTCCCACTAAACTGCCAGGCTCAAAGGCAGTTGCAAATGAGATCAGAATTCTCCCTGTGAGAGTTGTAGTCTGGAATAATCACAAATAAAGCTGGATCTCAGCCCAAGCTGCCTTCCCCCTCCAGTGTGACAGTCTCAGGGCTAAGGTTCAGAAATGCTTCTACTTTTCTGTAATGGAATATGCCATAAATTCATCAAGTTGAAAAGTACTGAATGTAATTTTAATTGGCACAAAGTCAGTGGCCTTTAATTCAGTGCTGCATATTATCCTTCTCTGAATTATTTCTCATAAATTGGGTGCAGGTCTGCGGTGCGGAGGGTAGCAAGGAATGCTTTCATATATTGGGAATGAGGGTAAAGGGGAAGAGCAGGGATAGTGAAGTACAGTTTCTATAGATGTTTGATTCTATCATGAAAGTCTCAAGGTTGTCACTAACCTTAGATCTGTTCCAGTCCATCTAAGTGAAGGACAGAATCTGGTCCTTTCCTAGAGGCTTGTACAATAGAGTGGTCTCCCTAAAGGGACAACAGCGTCCATCACCTATGTCTGTTTCTTTTTTTACCTGCTCTTTGTAACAAAGTGATTCCTAATATGACTGAGATCAGAGAAATAATTTCTCCTTGTGATTTGTTCTCTGCATTTGACAGCATGGGTCATGTACCCCCACTTTCCCATGTATATCAGTTTCTCTTGTTTGACTGTCCTTCAGGCCACATGAGTTTAAAACCTTTTCAATTATTTAAAAGAAACAACAACACAACATCATCAGAATTGGCAAGAAGATTTAGGGGCAGGTATGATACTTGAAACCACTACTTAAATCACTCTTTGAAACTGACTAGACTGCATCCCTTCAAGGGTAGGATGTTCACAGTGGTCAAAACTTCAGTGGAAAAATGTGACTAGCTTGTCCGGTGTCAAAGCACAATTCTGGCTTATGCTTTTTCAATAGCTTCATCCTATAAACTGATCCATTTCATAGCTTTTGCTATTGTATAAATGAAATTGTTCCCAACTTGGAAGAAGCAGGGAGGAGAGACATAAAGTCAAGAGTACAATCAGGCCTGGTTTAACAGGAATAAGAACAACTGGGTGACTAGATACAGGTAAAGTGGGGATATGGACAAGTTCTGATTAGGCTGGTCTCCAGCGTAACTAGACAATCTGGAGCCATTACTGAACTGTCTCAATGACTTAAACAAGTTTAATAAAACATTCAAGAAGTATCATCTTAGGTGCTTGCAGTGTTCACAGTCTAGTTGGAAGGGCCTGCAGGGATCAGTTTTGGTTCTGGTCAATATCTTCATCAGTTATTTAGATAATGGCAGAGAGTACACTTATAAAGTTTACAGACAATACCAAGGTTGGGGGGATTGCAAGTGCTTTGGAGGATAGGATTAAAATTCAAAAGGAGCTGGACACACTGGAGAAGTGGTCTGAAGTAAATAGGATGAAATTCAATAAGGACAAAGGCAAAGTATTCCACTTAGGAAGAAATGATCAGTTGCACACATACAAAATGGGAAATGACTGCCTAGGAAGGAGTATTGGGGTCATAGTGGATCACAAGCTAAATATGAGTCAACAGTGTAACTTCCCCCACCCCACAAAAAAAAAAAAAAAAAAAAAAACATTCTGGGATGTATTAGCGGGCGTGTTGTAAGCAAAATACAAGAAGTAATTCTTCCACTCTACTCTGCACTGATAAGGCCTCAACTGGAATATTATGTCCATTACTGGACACCACATTTCAGGAAAGATGTGGACAAATTGTACAAAGTCCAGGGAAAAGCAACAAATATGATTAAAGGGCTTGAAAAAAAGACCTATGAGGGAAGATTGAAAAAAAGTGTTTAGTCTGGAGAAGAGAAGACTGAGAGGGGATGTGATAACAGTTTTCAAGTGCATAAAAAGTTGTTACAAGGAGGAGAGAGAGAAATTGTTCTCATTAACCCCTGTGGATAGGACAAGAAGCAGTGGGCTTAAACTGCAGAAAGAGAGGTTTAGATTTTCTACCCTTCTTGGATTGTAGGAAGGAGCCGTTTATAATTATAAACGAGCAATTCCAATTAATGTTTTCAGTAGTTAGGCATTTTGTACACTCTGTTTGTTTTTTATAATCTTACAAGCTTAGGAATCTTCCTATCAATTAATTTCTCTCCAATTTGTCAAGCACTTTTCCTCATCCAGTTTTGAATGGAACTGAAATTAGTATAAAACGCCTTTGCATGTCAAAACACATTTTTATGTTATCACCAACCTCACTGATGTCTGCACAGCTCTGGAAATGATGTTGATTGAGGGAACTGCTGAACAAGGCAGCCTAGTTTTTAAAGTTCTCAGAAATAATGGACTTTAAAATAATTCGAGACCATTCCCTATTGTATTACAACAGTTCTAGGTCTATAAATTGACCAGATTTAAAATGCATTTAAATTTAGTGCTCCTTTTTGAGCATCAAGGGGAAAACTTCTTGTAGAATGTCTTGCATCTACCCAATAAATCATAGCTGTGAGGAACAATAGTGTGTATAATGTCTTGCAAACCTGTCTTCTTCATCATGGTATAACACTGAAGGGAATTTATTTATCATTGTAACTTCTTTCTTCAACTGTTAGGTCCGAGTCATTCTTAAGAGAAATCAAAGTTCAACAGATATTTAAAGAGTAACACTGAAACAGGTATAAGTACCTCCTGTGTAACTGATGTGAATTACTCGGGAGTCAATTCTGCGGTGCCATTCCCCTTTCTGAAGCTGGGTCTATAGTAGGGTTGTAAAAGGTCAAACAGTTAACCGGCAAGCATTAGGCTTACCGTTAACCGGACTTTAACCATTAACCCCAGTGGCTGCACCGGGCCGATGGGCCAGAGCAGCCCCATCCCCGTTAGGCTGGCCAGGCCAGAGCGGCCCCTGACCCCAGTCAGCCAGCGGTACCCTGACTGCAGTGGACTGGGTGGGCTGGAGGAGCCCCAACCCCGGCTGCATCAGGCTGGAGCAGCCCCGTCTGCAGCGGGCAGGCAGGACCGCGGCCAGGCAGCCCACCGAGCCGGCAGGACCCGGGCCGGACAGGCTGGAGCACCCCTGGCCACACCAGGCCGGTGGGACCCCAGCCCTGCCCACTCTGCACCAGCCAACCGGAACGACCTCGATTAACGGTTAAATTATCTAATTTTAATCATTTAACCGGTTAACTTTTTAACCAATATTTACATCCCTAGTCTATATGGACTTTGCATAGCATAAAGATTAAAGTCATCTTAATCCAGTGCTTGCCCACTAGGACAGCAGTTCT